AGTTAAAACTAATTCTCAAAATTGGTGCATGAATAAATGCGGGGTTTGAATATGATGATGTTCAAAGCCTGAATACATCTTATGAAAGAGCATTGGACATGTTAGTTCATTCATTTCACCAAATGCTAATCAATTTTCTATAATTATTCCAACTTAGGTCAGCAATTGGTTCAAAAATCGTCGTCAGAGGGACAGAACTCCATCAAATTGTCTTTCTCATATTGCGATTTCTTCGCGGAACCTGTCAACACCAAGCACAGCCATAGGGATCAAGGACGCAGACTTGATTTTCAAACCAACTCTTCTCAACCCCCAGAACAAAGAAGATGCGATCTCTCCCGAGCTTTCCCCCTTTTGTTCACAGCCCGAACTCCATCATAATGAAGTGAATGAATCCAGTTTCACCTTTTATGATAATGTAGATAGCACTTTTGATAAAGTCTGTAGATACGATAGTTCAACAAGTGAATTTCTATCGTTTAAACAACCTTTGGATCTTCCACATTTTTATCTCAGCTCTGGCTCATTTGATGCCAACGGATCTAGGTGCAGTCCACAAGTCTCGCCGTGGAGCACATGTCCGGCGTCTTTCACCACCCCAAATAAGGTCGATGAAGGTCATGGATATGAACGGATTTCGTCGACAGATTCTATTTCATCCCATACCTCAAGATCTTCCGATTTGCCGTCACCCTCACGAACGACCTTCCTTCTACCCGGGGCTGCAACTGAACCTCTATCTGAGGCGACCATATTACCTTCAAGATATCATGTTCCAAACGTTTGGGGGTAGGTTGTAGCATCAGGATGATCATCTATAAGCGGCTTTGTTAGGCCAACTCAAAGTTGATGCTTACTCAAGAACTATTTTGACTGAAACTTGTCAGTGGCATTCACCAACGTTACAGTTGCGTTGTCAGGGTAGCATAATGAGTCTCGGGGCAACATAGAGGTTACCAGTGAACTGAGCAAAATTTCCACTCGTACACTCAGTTAAATTGTGTTACTTGTCTTCAAAGACTGGTTAAGGGCCAGTTCTTCGATGCTCTGCTTCAATGTAAGCCTCCAGAAGGCTGGTTTTTGCTGTTTTCTGTGATTGGCAATTAACCAATTATCAAGTCAAAGTTACGATGTGCTTGTCACAAATACGATCCTTCTTACATTTTACTGGTTGTCAAATGCCTCTATAATATTCTTAGCAAACAATCCTGACATTCGTTATTTTCTGATTAAAACACCCGTTTGGTGGTCAACTTCTTCAATAAATCCCATAGTCAAATGCTGTCTGAAGGCTCCTCTTCAACAATGCATTCCCCGTCCTTAGTCTCCGCCTTACTCTTAAATCGACATTCCTCGTGGCTGAGCATAATTTTTTATTCTTGCCTTTTTCTTTGGTTCTAGATGGTCCTTCATTTGTATTCTTCCCGATAAATTGCACTTCGAAGACATGAGTCCATGCTCCATGTGAGTGTGCTTAGATTGAATAAACATGACAGTATATTAATGAAGGCATTTTTCGG